GTACACAACGTCATCGATATACCACGGCAGCTCGTCGTTCCGCATAACCCGCATTCTCCCGTAAATCTTCGGCCCCGCATATATAATAAGCAACAGATCAGCGACTCTCTTGTAGTCGCGTAATTTTTTTAGAACAATCCAAACAAAATGCGATGATATATCGGCAATTCAACGAAAAAGCATCCTACGTTTGGTCCGAAAACTCATTGGGATATTTGTACGCCATTGGAACTAGTCTTGTGTCGATGGTAATAGTAAGTGAAAGATTTTCCTACCGAGGACTAAACGCTCGAGGTAGGAAAAAAGATTTTTCTAAAACCTCATTCAAAATTTGGCAAAATTGTGCCATATGGGATCTGATTTACAATTTAGTGTATACCCCGTGCAACTTGTACGAGTATCAAGTAAACAAGGACGTTGCGCAAAAAAAATGAGTTTGAGAAGCATAGACTTTGATGAATTAGAAAAAATATTATATTGCATGAATTGCAATCGGACTTGTCTACGTAAATTATTTTTCTGACTCTCCCCAACTTTTGGACAAAAATTATTTTTCTACAAACTGAAAACTAAAATTCAAATTCGCATTTTTAATTTTCTTGATAAACCAACTGTTTTTTAATTTTTCTAGATTAAAAGGTGAAAATTACCACTTTTAATAGTCTTTCAATCGATAAAGTCGGTTACATGCCTGTTTTTGAAATGGTAGGTTTCGGCTCACGCTGTTTCCAAAGGTAGAATAGACTTTAATCAGAGGAGTTCATCGATTTTACAAATAAAATGAAAAATCGGTTAAGTACTCTAAACAGTTTTTTTTTTTTTTTTTTGACCACTTATGAAAATTGTTGATATAACTTTATCTATTTTTGTTTATTTTTTGATGAAAAAAGAAAAACTTTATGTTTCATTTCTGAATCGACTGGATTATTATGAATAGCTAATAATTATTTGCTTTTAAGCTATACTCAAATTACTGTTTCATAAATTTACATCTTGAAGAAGGGAAACACTTTTGGTTTCTAAATTTTTTACGCACATGATGATTTATGATCTCTTAATGTAGGGCTGTTCCATAAAAATGTTTCCATTGAGACATTGACGACGAATCAATAAAAATTGTTAAACAATCGTGCGATAATAAAGGCACAGTGTAGAAACTTTCTCAACACGCTGATGAGGGATACAATTTTCTGTAGTAATCCTTAGTCACTTATTGTTTCAGAACTCAGCGATACAACTCGCTCGATAAGGTCATGTTGTTTTTCCATCAGCCTGTTTACAGGGTACAATTACGAGTTTCACGGAAACGTACATTGGTCATTGTTTTCATTTTGAAAGTTCTGGTCACTGCACAGTAATTTTTTCAGTAAAACTGATACATACGCTGGATAACACTATCACTGATAGAAATAATTGTTTATGTCAAAGGAATGATTCATTAACAAACATAATTATCATTGAAGACCTTGGGACACGTCAGTTTCCATTCACATTGAATACGCTTTGGAGGAACAGTTTATGAGTGGCTGCTTTGCTGTAACTTGCGGACATTGACTTATTACTAATAACTCAAAAATCGCAGTATCGGATGTTTCTACAACAATTTGATAAAAATCATTCTGTTGAATCACGATTTTTTCCTATTTTCTCTCAGTTTGTCATAATTTTATTGCACTCAGATAAAATGGCACCTTATATCTCTCAAGCGACGAGGTAAAGTCAGAGCACCTTGAATCGTCGTTTACAATTTACGAACCTGCGTTCTTCCTGGCACTCGACGATTTAGGAAAACAAGTCAGGAGATTATTGTGTCGATTGTTAGCAATTCTTGGGTCAATGGCTGCTTCCCCCCTACCCCAAATACAAACGTATCTTTGATTAGCAAATCGAGTATATTGTAACGTAACCATCACGATAATCCGATGATGGTTAAACTACCTACTCATTAAAGTTTTGCTTGCAAAGCCCTTTGTCGTCGTCACATTATGCGTCACTTTTAAGACATTTCTGTGTAGATATACGTAAAGTGCCTCTTGTGTGTACATTGATGATGTGCCTATGCTCTTCACAGACATAAATTTGTACAGATTCACTATCTGCGTCGAATTTATTGCTTATCTGGGCAAGGGCGTAAAAAAAAGGAAAAAAAAAAAAAAATCAAGTGCAGCGAAGCACGACCCGCCACACTTGATGAATGCCTCGCTCGAACGAAATCGAGGTTTTGTCTTTTTGTTTCATTTGCTTTCGTCTTCAACACTTGCGGCCAGTAAGCGCATGGCCTTATTTCCCTGGGTTACAGATGCGGTGGCGGTGGTCGGCGTAATAATTCCACGTACACAACGTAATATAGCCACACGCCCACTATAGACATACTCGTGAGTCCATTACGAGTTAAATTCTTGAGTAATCCAAAGATATTGTAAGGCGTTTCGTTCGTGACGTATAATATTCAAGTGTTATACTTTATCGGTACTTTAAAATAAAAAATTGTCGTCAGTCCAAATAAACCTTTGTTTGAAAACAAATAAAATGTATTTAAATGAAAAAAAAAATTTATTCAGATCAAATAATATTCATTTGTATCAGATAAACGATTTATTTATAATTTAGTACTTAATAAAGTTAACTAAACTTTTACTTTATTTAAATAAATATTTTTTGTTCCTATTCGCAATTAAATATTTATTTCTATTGAAAACAATTTTTTTTTCCAGTGTGATAAAGCCACACATTGGCATACTGGAACCTACAAGCACTGCTCGGAGATTTCGTTTTTTGAAATTTTATGTAAACAAATCGAAGCTCGTGTCTTTATTTTTCATAGATCAGCTTGTCTTCTGGCAAATTGCATTGACACGCAAATCGTACATTAGCATCCACCGCGACGACTCGGCTCCGCATAATTACACATTAAAATAAAAAAGAAAAACTTTGACAAAAAAAAGCAACCGATTGAATGTCAAAGTGATCGAAATAAGCAAGTGCGTAGCGTAAAAACTCCACTCGACGATTAATTAACCGACGAAATAATCCCAAGACTCCTACGTACACATGATATATACATGTCTTGTTTTTCCCCAGTACGCAAATCACATGTATATGCATTACAATCACGCGCGAGCCTCAATTTTTTCTTTTTCTCTTATGTTTTTTTTGTCATCCGCAGTTCTGCACCGCACACCATCCTGGAATACAAAAATTTCCTCGACACAAAGAAAACCGAGTTTCACGCATTTTTTTTCTCAGCGCCGAGTTAGTGTCCCCCCTCGCTTTGTTTATGTCTCTGAAAAGAGGCGCATGAGAACGGCGCGGGTGACTGATATCGCGTATGATTGTCACGCATGTAGATGCGCCATTGTTGCACACTATTCTTGGGAACCCGAAGAACAGCCGCGTAACTTTCCCCATAATAAGTACATGGGTTTTATCGGTGATGAAACATCGCGATATCGCGCTTTTGTTGTCCACTCCCGAGTACTAGTTCCGTTAGCTTCGAGGGCCGGATGAAAAAAATACCATCTCATGGCGCGCAGTTGCATATCGACTCAGTTGGAGAATTTTTTTGCTGAATTCAAAAATTTCTTTTCAACCAATGATAATTCACTCCGACATCTGTCATCTCATCATAAAGTATATCTGAGTTTTAGTAATAGTCACGTGTCTACAAAATACTCGAAAGGAATCTATTTTGTGTGATATACGTTGTTACAAAAACAGTTTTTTTTTACCCATCGTATATAAGTATTTTTTGCGCTCATCGTTGCAAGTGTTTCTGAATGAATGTGATTTTTTGAGCAAATGCCCAAGACTTGAAACAAATTTTTTGCTTCTGGTCTGTATCGAAAGTCGAGAATCAGTTGTAATGGAAAAAATAAAGAATATGACAAAAAAACTATTGATCAATATGAGTTTGGACATTGAATTACCAATATACGGCACTCATATCAATCAATCGTGCCTAAAAAGTATTTAATGAAAAAATGATTTATCATTCAGAGTTAATTTAATTGCATTAGGAAAGTAACGAGTATTATTCCCCAATTATGTACGTATTTAATTAATATTATTAAAATAAATTATAAACTATTTTCATTTTTAATACAAATAATAAATGCAAATAAATCATCAATCA